TATTCTATCCCTAATCACATGAGAAGAACCATGAGTTTTGTGACAGAGTGGTAGATCTTTAACATATGAGTAACGTAGGCAGGACCGGTTACCGCCGGTTTTTGTCTTGATTAGGACCGGTAGGGACCGGTTAAGGACCGGCCCGGGACCGGATTTTGGCCATCTCTACTGTGAAAGTTAATCCAGATGGCTCTGTGGCTCGTCTGAAAGCCCGATTGGTAGCCAAAGGATATGTTCAGACTTATGGGGTCGACTACCACGAGACATTTTCTCCTGTGGCTAAGGTACCCTTCATCCGCCTGTTTGTTTCATTAGCCGCTACTTACGACTGGGTACTACACCAATTGGGTGTGAAAAATGTCTTCTTGCATGGTGATTTACACGAGGAAGTCTATATGGAACAACTACTTGGGGGTTTGTTGCCCAGGGGGAGTCTGGTAGAGTTTGTAAACTGCATAAGTCATTGTATGGTTTAAAGCAATCCCCTCGTGCTTAGTTTGGACGGTTTAATGCCGTAGTGACTGAGTTTGGCTTACGGGGGAGCTCTTATGATCATTATGTGTTCTTTACTTCGTCATCTTCCAGATGTATTCTACTAGTAGTATACGACGATGACATTGTGATTACTGGGAGTGATGAGACTGGGATCAAGAAGCTAAAAGATTTCTTTGCGTCTCGGTTTCAAACAAAGGACCCAAGGTCCTTTAAAATACTTCTTGGGAATTGAAGTATCTCGTACTCGAAAAGGGATATCTTTGTCTCAATGGAAATATTGTTTGGATATATTGAACGACTTTGATATGATTTCCGTGTGAGGCCCCAATGATTCCAAATATGAAATTGAAAGCGGACGATGGAGATCCAATTGAGGGTCCAGAAAAGTACAAAAGAATCATGGGAAAGCTAAACTACCTGACGCTTACACGTCCTGACATCGTTTTTCCAGTGAGTGTAGTAAGTCAGTTTATGCCATATCCGAGAACTCCACATTGGGACGCTGTTAATCATATACTGAAGCACCTAAAGGGTGCTCCTGGTCTTGGTATTTTTTTATCAAAATCACGGTCATCATATGTCATAGAAGGGTTTATAAATGCCGACTATAATGGGGATCCTACTACTAGGCGGTCTACTATAGGCTATTGTGTGTTGGTTGGAGGGAATCTAGTTTCATGGGAAAGCAAGAAACATAATGTCGTTCCTCGGTCAAGTGCTGAATTTGAATACAAGGTTATGGCCCAAACCACTTTCAAGTTGATATGGTTGTGTAATCTGCTAGGTGAAATTCGGTTTGCTCAATTTAAACTAGTGAACCCATATTGTGATAATGAGGCGGCTATCCACATTGCAAACAATCCCGTGTTTTATAAAAGAACAAAACCACATCGAGGTTGACTGCCATTTCACTCGTGAAAAGTTAGAAGATGGAATAATCTCAACTCCCTTTGTTCGAACAGGAAGACAACTTGGTGATGTCTTTACCAAATCATTACCTGGTTCACGAATCTTTTTTATTTGTAACAAGTTGGGCATGATTAACATCTATGCTTCTGCTTGAGGGGGAGCATTAAGATACTCAATATCCTTGAAGATACTCGATATCATTGTAAAATAGGAATTGAAGATTATGGGTAATATCTCGTTGTAATTTGCTACTGTGAATATCTTAGGAATCCTTTCTTTTTCTTCTCAAATTCTTTGTGTATATATAGCCTTTGTACCTCCCTCTTTTGAGACAAGTGAAACAAACAAAGAATTCTACATATGTAAATAAGTTTGTATTTGTGCTCAAAAGGTCACTTCCCCCTAATATCATATGCTCATTCACTATCCTCTTTATTTGTTGAACAGGTTTGCTGCATTTGTTTGGCCAAATACGCAAACAACGATGAACTAAGAGAATTGATGTGTACCCATTTCTTTCACAAGAATTGTGTCGATAAATGGTTGAAGATTAATGCTTCATGCCCCCTCTGTAAAACCCAAGTCGGTGAAACCGTTTTCAATTTGCAAGCCGATGCAACTGCCACCACGCAAAGTAGTTCGGACTTTCTATGACAAATTTCGGTATATGTTAATATGCAGGTGTTACTTGAAGATTGTTATAGGTAGAAGCATCAAATGATTTTGAGAAAGGGAATTTGTGTTCTTGGCAAAATGCCGTATCATTTCCATGACCTGCAACTTATCAATTTTATGAAAAGATACTGTAAAATATTTCCTTCATCTCAAAAATAATTGTTCATATTTTTGTATTAATTTCTCCTATTCATTTTCAAAATAAGCTCCTACTTATGTTAGAAAATTGACTTCTAACGTTTTTTTATGTTGGGAAATTAATTTTCAAATTTTGGTTTTGAGGAAATTAAAAGGAAACCAAACCAATTCTTTTTTCTTCATATTTTGTATAACTTGAAATTTGTTATCAAATCCTTTGAATGAAACTTTTCAAAGTTGTCAAAATGTTAATTGATTTTTGAAAGTTAAGGGATGTTTGATCAGAGAGATATTAAGCAAATTAAAAAAAATGGTTTTGTATAATACAATGGTTTATTCTTTTACGGTCCTAAATTTTCATTCCACTTTAAACTTAATTAAAAAATTCATTTTTATTTTCATTTTCTATCTGAACTAAAAAACCCTTGGTTTTTAAATAAAAAACAAAAATGAAATTGATTTTATTTTGATTAAATTTACCTTTACTTGTGTATTTATTCACTTAGGATTTTGATCCAAGACAAAGAGTCATGTGAAAATAGGAGTTAACGTGAGTAACATAAGAAGAGATAAGGACCCTTGATCACTTTTAATCTCATCACATCCTATAAATTATGTTCGATATGGTAATTGATTCGGTGTATCTCGATGTATTTCATTAGTGTCGAGATTCAGTTATGATTGATTTAAAGGTGAAGATCACTTTTTATATTTCTCACCATAAGTTTTATTTTCACCGAAACTCAACCCACCATCCTACTCAAGTACTATAAGGGTAATCATTAATATTGTTAGAGATAAAAGAAAAATGAACCACTTATGTTAATATTGGATAAATTCCTTTTATTCTTCAATAAAATATGACTTCATTTAGTTTTGTATGCATATTTTAAAAAAATAGCTAAAATAGGTTGGACCAACTTGTTTTCAAGCTGCTTGTATTGTTTCATCCCGATAAAAGAATAGTGTTACACGTTTAATCGAAATGAAACCGTTAATAGTCACAATCTTTGCCATGTGACCATTTTGTTTTCCCATAATACGAATGACATTTGTCAAACATATCTCAATATTAAACGAAAATCATTCTGGTATTAGATTAGGTTATCCGTTTTTGAGTTTGCAGCTGTACGCTCATCGATCATATTTTCGGACTTCGCCTTGCCCACCAGTACCACAAATACTATTGAGGGGTCAGCTCATTTGGAACAAGCCTTGGGTCTTTGGGGTTCCCCCTACAAGTCACACGTTCAAGTCCCTCCAAGGTTATTAGAGATTTTTCTACTTGTTGTCCTCTGGGATTTATCGAGATGTGTAAATGCTTGCTCGCCCACAACTATAAAAATGTATCAACCCATGATATGAAATTTTGATGCAACAATCTTATAAGCAACCTAATATCAATTTCTTTCAACTAACATGGTTAAGTTTTGTTCGAATCAAATTAAACAATCATTACAAGAAACACACGATCCTATTGCTTGTCAAAGTATACATATCAAATCACTTGGATTGCAATATATCAGTTAAGTTTCAAAGGGTTGTAGTAGAAAACTTATCTTTCATAGGGTCTTGCAGCCATGGAAGTTCACCTGCAATGACCTTAGACTATTTGTGGTCGCTCCGAATTAATCGGTGCACACATACTAATTCAGATACCCACAATTCCTAGAAAAGTATACTATGGGTAATTTTAGCCTTGATTTTGACTACTTTAAATCATAAAATCATAGGCATGGATTCTTCATATCAAGAAAACCTGGATATAATATGAAGAGAATTAGTACTTTACTTCACTGAAAATACTGAGGAAAACTCAATGATTTTGTTTAAGATACTTGGCCCTTTAAATAGAGCAGTAATTACAACAAAGAAACAAGGAGAATAAAACAGAAAATGAGAATACTAAGTTATCTGCATAAAAATAGGTCCACGATGCAGATTGGTTTATTCAAAGCTAATCTCCTAAAAATCAGGCACATTCCAG